CCCCCCCCCCCCCCCCCCAATCTCTCTGATCTGCTACAACCGTATGTCCCACCACGCTCCCTGAGGTCAGCAGACCAGTTGCTCCTCACAGTTCCAGGAACTCGTCTTAAGCGCAGAGGTGACAGGACCTTCTCTGTAGCAGGACCAAGACTCTGGAACGAGTTACCTCTGCTTGTCAGACAGGCCCCCTCCCTCTCAGTTTTCAAGTCCCGTTTAAAAACTCACTACTATTCAGTATCTTTCAACACCAGATGATCTGTGTTTGATCCTGTATGCTCCACACTGGTTAGTCATCATTATCTGCATCGTTTTTATGTCTATATTCTGATTGACCTCATTTTGTATTTTGCTTTGTGTGTTACCTGTTGTTCTGTCTGTACAGCACTTTGGTTGGCCTTGTAGCTGTTTTAAGTGCTCTATAAATAAAGTGGTATGGTGTGGTATGGATCTGAACAGAACAGAACATTGCAGTAATCAAGCCTAGATGTATTGAATGCATGTATCACTGTCTCCAGGTTCTTTTTGGACAATATGGGCTTCATTTTAGACAGCCGCCTCAGTTGGAAGAAGCATGATTTAACAATCATGTTTACATGATTGTTAAGTTTCAGGGAAGGGTCCATTATCACGCCCAGATTAGTGACTCTTTGTTTTTCTGACAGGGTTAGAGCGGAGAGGTCGATGCAGTGGTTTGTGATCGTGTCGTTGGGAGGGAACAACATGACTTCAGACTTCTTTTCATTGAAACTTAAGAAATTTAAAGCCATCCAGTCCCTGATGTCAGCCAGGCAGTTGAGCAGCGGTTGAATAGAGCATGTACCTCTGTGTCTTAGGGGGAAGTAAATTTGACAGTCATCGGCATAGAAGTGGAAGGGCATGTTGTGTTTCCGGAAAATAGCACTAAGTGGCAGCAGGTATAGAAAGAATAGGAGGGGACCCAGGATGGACCCCTGCGGAACCCCCCATTTAAGCTCTGCCTCTGCAGAACTAAAATCCTTGATGGAGACACAAAAGGATCTGTCAGTGAGGTAAGATCTGAACCAATTGAGGGCTGATCCTGTGACGCCCACCCACTGCTCCAACCGAAACATTCATGTATAATAATAATAATTTAACAGAAACATTCATCAATAAAATAATAATTTAACAGAAACA